TGATACGCCCACCAAACCGTCTGTCTGTCTGTCTCTGCCTCTCTCTGCACTTTCTCTCTCCTCGCTCGCTCGCGCGCTCTTTCTCCCACTCTCACTTCTTTTGCCCTTCCAATCCCTGGACCTTGGACCTGTCTTCCTCCTGCACCTGCAGCGCTTGCCGTGCCTCTGCTTCTGCTTCTGCTTCTGCTTTCCCGTCTCGCCTCACACCCCCCTACCTCACCCTCACCCCCCGGGGAAACCCATTGTCTTGCCTTCCATTTTGCCTTGGTCTTAATGCTGCTGCAGCTTCTACTTTAGCACCTGCACCAGAAAGCGTGGCCTGGACTACCTGGAATCGGAACTGGGACTGGAACTGGAACTGGACTCGATCTGACTGACGACTTCTTCCTCCGTTGCGCGCTGCTTTGCTCAGCTTGCCTACCTACTTTCCTGCCTGCCTTATTACCTTGCCTTGCCTTGTCTTGCTTCACGTCTATTGGACCACACCACCACCCACACCCCCCAAAAGCCCATCATCCATTCTAATCTCTTTTGGCACCGCTGCCGCCCATTCTTCCTCCACCCCCCGTCTTTCACTTTCAAAGCTCACGCTTCAACCCTTTCTCACCAAGTTCCCCTTCGGCTGGGTCTCGTTTCTTCTCTTCCCAATCCTCCATTCCTCGTTCGCGAACACTGCGCTGTTCGTTCTCCCCGAGTCGCCCAACTCCAACGCCTCGCCTCGCCATCATTCCCCCCCTTCAAGCTCGAGCGATATTCGATACCAACCCTTTTGTTACCCAAAGAATCACCACCTTCACTTTGTTACAGCGAACCTTAATTCTAGCCGCCTGCGTGCTGTTCCCTGCAACCACTCTCTACTTTCGCCCACTTTTCCCCCCCGTCTGATTCCAACTAGCATCAGCACCAAGTACCACCGCCATCCACCACGAACCACACACAGCACCACCACCACTACTACCACCACCGCCGCCGCCTCTTCTCAGCGCACCGCAGCACACCTTCTTCAACCTCCAGAGTCTCCCCTCCAGGTCCTCCGTCCCCCGAACGAGCCTGGCTTGACTTGACTCCAACCTGCGGAACGGTACATCACTGAGCACAGGTTACCTGCTGGCTCCCCCAGCCACTTTGCCTCGCCCACTCAGTCATTCCATTGGCGCCGCTTCCTGCGCGACCGAGCCCAAACCATCTTCCATTCTCCGCGTTCGACCGACTACCTCCAAGGACGTCGCTTCGCCCTTCCTCCTCTTCCCCCATTCCATCCATCGTCCACCGCGTCGATCGTTTCTATTCGAGACAGCTTCGCCTTCAATCTGGACCGCGCGACGAGCACTGCGAATTGGCCTTTTACGGCCGACATCAGCTGAGTTTAGGGGTTGAGGATTCTGGGAAAGCTTGCCGGACCCGACAAGAAAGGAGGTGAGTGACGACACTCTTTCTTTGCCTACGTTTTCCAACCGTTACCCGCCGCCAACTCGACCACCTCACGACGCCCATCAACAACCCCGTGCTTGCGCGATCGTGTCGTGTTTGACTTAGGGCATCATTGCTCCGTGATTTGTTCCGCTCCTCACGCGTACCATGTGTGTGTGCTTCGTGTCAGAGTCGCCTGCGCTATGCCAACAGCACCTCGGTCATGTCTTAGACCTTGGAATGAGAGGATGAGGCGGAACTGTGTCATGGATGATCTAGAATGCACACCGGGATGATTACCAGCCCCTCCTGAGTCCTCACCGCTCGGTCTCTCTCGTGTTGTCGCCTCGCTTGACCGGTTTTCGCGGCGTTTCGCTAATCATCCCCAATCTAGTTCGACAGCATCATGTCCGAGAAGCCACAATCATCCAACCCAGTCGACGAAATCACTCCGCAAAACCAACAGAACGGCCAGTCAAGTCAAGAAATGTCCAAGGAAAAGGTGCTTCTGGCACCAGAGGAGGGTGGAAATTCAAAGAAGGGTAGGAGCTTGCTGCATGTGCCGTCACGGTCTTCCTCGCAGCGCAATCAATCCTCTCCGACTTCGACAGGGCTGAGCGGAATCACAGTCAGCGATTCGAGAAACAGCATCGGCGGCCGATCAAAGGAATCCAAGGGTAGCATTCTGGGGCGGCATCGAAATGGCAGCGTCGGCAGCCACCGATCCGGCATCGAAACCGAACCGACAAACACCCCCGGCAACACCCAACCGAACTCCCCCGTGAATCCCCCGCAGAAGAAGAAGAAGGGCGGCATCTTCGCATTGTTCGGCTGCTGCGGAGTCCCCGACAACGCGAACGCTATTGAGAACGGCGACGACGCCGTCCACAAGCTCGACAAGCTGCCTGCGCGGCCGACAACTGCCAAGTCCCGTCAGCCGACTCCACAGGAGCAGCCGATCCCACCGAACAAGCCGCAAATCCACGAGAAGCAACCGCAGCCCGAGCAGCCAATGACCGCCGGCAACGAGTATAAGGGTAAGCGCGTCTCTAACACCACTACGGCCGACGACTCTACCGTCGGCGGCCAGGAGGGCTCCGATTCAAAGCACGCGACCGCCCTCGGTACCGGAGCTAGCGCTAGCACAGCTGCGCCCGTCATCACCGTCGAGTCCACCACCGGCGAAAAGGTTCAGGATGCGCAATTAGAAGAGCCGGAGAAGAAGGACGTTGAGGGGGATGAGGCGATGCCCGATGCGACGCCCGAGCCCGAGGAGTCCAAGCAGCAAATACCGCCGCCGGTCGAAGACGCACCGACAAGTCAACAACTGCCGGGCCCTCCGCCGCTCCCGACCGCCGAGAACGGATCCATTGATTTGGCAGGCCCCGTTGCCACCGAACAGAAGTTCCTGCTGGGTCCAATTGCCCCCGAACACAAGGGCCGAAAATGTCTTGTGCTCGACTTGGATGAAACGCTCGTTCATAGTTCATTCAAGGTATGAGAGATGCTCCATCGTCCCCAATTTCAGTACTAATGTGTCGCAGATTCTCCACCAAGCCGATTTCACCATACCCGTAGAAATCGAAGGCAACTATCATAATGTGTATGTGATCAAGAGACCGGGCGTGGATCAGTTCATGAAGCGCGTCGGCGAACTTTATGAAGTGGTGGTCTTCACCGCGTCTGTTTCTAAGGTACGATCTGTCGTCTCCCAACGCCACGGCCCAAAGCTGACATTTTACAGTATGGCGACCCTCTTCTGGACCAACTTGATATCCACAAGGTCGTTCACCACAGACTTTTCCGCGAGAGCTGCTACAATCACCAAGGAAACTACGTCAAGGATCTTTCCCAGGTGGGAAGAGACCTGAAAGACACAATCATCATTGACAACTCCCCCACGTCGTACATCTTCCACCCGCAGCACGCCGTTCCCATCAGCAGTTGGTTTTCGGACGCACACGACAACGAGCTGCTGGATTTGATTCCCGTTCTAGAAGACCTTGCAAAGTCGGATGTCCAGGACGTCAGCCTGGTTCTCGACGTTACACTTTGAAGCTGAAGATACCAATTTCTTTTCTTCGTTCATCACCTCCGAGGAAATTTGCAGGACCGCGGTCCCATCATAGCGGAAGGCGTTTGGGTTGCGATGGTTCGTTTCCAGCAGGTGTAGATGTATCACTGTCTAATCTTACCTTATAATGAGCAATGGCGGAGGTACCAGACCGAGCCAGCTCACGGCGGCTTGTACGCAAAGAGCTCAGGGGCCGCTTCAAATGACCTCGAGGATGACACTTCATCGAAAAACCTCGGATTCGGAAAGGGACACAAAAAAGGGGGCACTTGGGAGCTTGGGACGGCCGGACGCTGAGCTGCTGACGCTCTTCTGGCACCTCGGTGTGTTTTTTTCTTTTTCCGGCGCCCATGTTTTGGAAGTGCACACGAGAGGAACCTCACGAAAGACACCCATCTGTTGTTGAAGACCAGTCACCACGAAAAAAAGGCGGGGAAGGATACCATGGGATGTCGTGTTGGTTTTCATTTGGGCAGGGGATGCCCTTTTCTGTGGCAGGATATTGTTTTCCCTTTGTTCATTCTCTCTAACTTTTGTTTGAATCGTACACACAACACACTCTCACACCACCACCTCCTTCACCCCAGAGTCATATCCCTCACTCTCTTCGAGTCTGCCAGCAGACTCTTCTCTATTATTCTGCCAGTGTAGCAAACCAAGTGTTGAGCGGAAGCAGAGGACAGACGAGGGAAAGCCTTATTTTATTGTATTTCAACTAGTGCTGCATAAGCTGGCGCCGATCAGATGGAAAGGTTTTGGCTGCAGAAAGCGGCTGCTTCCTAGATATACAGTACCCCCTCAAATTCAATGAAAGCGTTCAAAACTTGTCCGAACTACTGTTGTCTTGATGATGAAGTATGTGCCAAAGCGGGAAATTGGCGTTGGAGCGTGGACATGCAGAAGACGGGATTACCATGTCTGCCACGCGGTGACTTTGATCAGTTGATGGAACCAGGATGGGGCTTACATTGTGGACCTGGAGAGGTCGGGTTAGGCGCTGTCGCTTGCTGCGCTGAGGTGACCTTCCGGCCAGGGACCCGTTAAGGTAGGTTCGCCGCCCCAGCCCAGGGGGGGGCACCTCAGTGGTTCTGGAACATCGGGTCGGAAAATCCCACCACCCCCCGGCCAGCTGGCTGGTCCCCTTTCCAAAACTGTGGCCTCAACTCTGCACATTTGAGTCGCACCGTAGCCGACGCCCCCAGCAAGGAGCTCGATCGTCCATCACATCCATCCACCCAGACCACAGTCCGTCCTACGTGTTTCCCTTCTTCGACCAATTCCGAAATCCTGCAGCGATCTTGGGATCTGTTTACCGTCACACTCCTTCACAATGGTTAGTCTTTCCTCGTCAATGCACGTCGGCGAAACATAGGAGGCTCCTTGGGGGCTTGATTGTCCATCTCGCGATTTGGGAGCTTGCACGCGACCTCGTCTTCGTTTCTGGCCATACCACTCAGGCCGAGGATGGAGACGACGCGTGTAGGCTGGATGCTTGGAGCTCCTATCGTCGCGCGACATGGACTGTTGCGAACAGCGCAATGACAAGCAGGAGAGACAAAATGGTTATGCTAACCCGACGATTGTACAGTCTTCCCCTCGTCCCGCCTCTCCCGTTAACTCGCCCGCCGCGGCCTCTGGCGCGAGCGTCGCCCGCCCTTCGTCGCCCACTCCCCCCGGTGGACCTCGCACTGCCATCCGCCGCCGCGCGGCCGCCGACCAGAAGGAGAAGATCGCCAATGCGCGCCCCAACAGCACGAGGGCCGCCGGTGCTGGCGGCAGCAGCAGCACGATGCTGAGTACGTTCCCCTTCGAGCCTGTGTCTTTTGCAACTCGCCCTGCGTTCGCGACGCGGAGGGAGCTGGAAAGAGAGGCGACTGGAGTATGGTGTAGAATTGGATGCTAACGCGCGGTGATTGCAGGGCTGTACACCGACGAGTCTCCCGGTCTCAAGGTCGACCCCGTCGTCGTCCTCGTCCTTTCTCTCGTTTTCATCTTCAGCGTCGTTGCCCTTCACAGTGAGTCTTTGCCGCTCCCTTGCCTCAATGGCTCTACCGAGGGGAACTTGTCCTTTGCTAACAAACGAACTTCAGTCATTGCCAAGATCACCCGCAAATTCTCCAGCTAAATTTCCTGAACGAAAGTTGAGGGACGGACGGATGACGCGATACGAGCCTCTTTCGAAAGCAAGATGAGGAGAACTTGGGGCTTTGGGCTGTGGCCCTAAGTGAGCTATCTATCAGAAGCGGAACCGTTTTCGTGGTGACCCGTCTCTGCAGCAGACTTGGTACTCGACGGACGGCCTCTGAGACGAAGGACGCATTCATATATCAAACTACACAAAAGCAGCAGCCTTTTTGACGATAATGGAGGGTGGGATTTCGTGGCCTTGATTCAGAGGAAGACTGAAGGGGGCGGCGGAAAGACACAAAGGGAAAAGCATGATGGTATGCCCGCCGCTGTATTATACCTCCTTTTTATGCACTTTTATACCGACATGCGGTTTATTGGAACGAGATCTTGACGAAGTTGTTCGATGGGCGTGAGACCATCGTTCCCCAGCGGTGATACTGGCCCCCCTCTCCCTTTCGCAAGAAGCTTAGGTTTCTGGTGACTTCTCCTTTGACCTGATGACCAGGAGCTTCCTAATCGAGGCCGATCCACTAGATCCACCGAGGCGAACGGGCCTTGTGGTTTACATTGTGGAGTTGAGAGGGGACCGCGACTGTCACGGGCGTCGTATGATGGGGTCTCTTGTACGAGAGACAAGCCGTTCGAAGGAGCAAAGCGTTGCTGCCTATGTCCTCTTCTTCGTATTCGAACGCGACCCGCGGCCTCCAAGATCATGCTAACAGACTGTGGCTATTGTGAATATACCTCGTCGTCGAGGGGTGGTGGATACCTCGGTCTTTGGAGCTGTTGGCTCCGGGAGACATCGCCACGGAGGTCGAAGATGGATGTCTGGTGTTGTTTTGCCACGGGCGAAATTCCCGCGCCAGATACTGATATAGTGGTGTAAATGATTATTCGATGACCGAACGAGCCCTATTTGGATGGTCTTCCGGTGAGGACCGTATCAGCCAGTCTGTGCTTTAAGACGATTCCTGCCAACTACAATGGATGCATAACTCGTATGGATCCATCATGTTCATGGCGATATTCAATTCCAAGACTACCTCGACTCTGGGTTTGTGAAGAAATTTTCTTTATTTGATTTGAACTATCACTGTCTTGGGATGAGCGGCGATGTTGTACTTATTTATTATTCGTATTTCTGATGTTGACATGGTGTTCATCAGAGCAGTCTATAGTCAAAGTAGTTGAAGCCACCTGATGATGATAGGGTCTAGGTAGTTTGTTTCCGTGTCGAGTGATGGAAACGCACTATGGCCGTCTGATGGAGTACATTTTGATGGAGTACAAGGCGAGACTTCAGACGGAACGGTTCGAGTGAATTCTTACTGCCTGTATAATTGCAGTTTGCGACCCGTCTTGATACTCCGCCTGCGTCCGTGTTCTCTTATCACGGGCTTTACCAAATCCTTCCGTGTGTCAGTCTGAAGGTTACAGAAACGTTCCGTGGCTTTGCAGGATCACTATTCATTTCACCCGACTGTTGAAGCCAGCAACAGGAGTTGTGTGCTCCACCATTTCTGCCCACGACCCCATAGGTCACATATCGACTGTGTCGTTTCGTATCTGCCTTCGGCGTTCGTCTCCGTTGGCTCTCATTCAAGGTTTCCGCTTCCGATCCGGCACCGGGGAATAAGGCGCGGGCCATGCCGACCAGGGGATACGTTTACCTCGTATCAGCCCACGCGTCCCTCACGTTGGTTTGATTAGGACCCCGATCCCACGAGGCTATCACCAAACTGATCACGAAATTCTTGCTGCCTACGCCCGATAGTTTTCTCGATCCTAGCATGAAATTTGTTGCCAAGCATGAGACGCGCACGAAGACAGCAAAGACAGAAAAAAAGACGAAGACCCTGTTCGCCGTCTGTGGCTGTGCGGGGAGGTTCGAGATCAACGGCCCCCAATCGTCCCAACCAAGACCGTTCATTGGACTCAGACGCCGCCGCCGCCCCTTCTTGGAGGATCTTCAGCCTGCGGCCCGCAATCCATTGGACGACCCGTTTAGGGTTGAACGTCATAGCTGCCTGCTCCTTTTTTTGTAGTGGTGACAGGGGTGTGTAGTGTATGCGTACCGCTCCGTGCGAGTCCGAGTGTAGGATTCGCCCAGCTCTGGAGATGTTTGGCTTCGAAAAGCCAGTCATGGCATTGATACGCACCGTAGTTCAAGCTGGCATGGCATGGTATGGCGGCAGACGGGTGCGAGTGCGGGATGGCGGTGCTGTTGATGCATGCATCTTGTGGTGAACTGGTCCAAGGTCTGTCTGTTCGGTAGGGAACCTACGGGATGCTCCTAGGCGAGCGAACGTCAGCGCGCCCATGCCATAGTTACCCCACCTGCAATCATGTTCCTCTTGGGTTGCCTCCATCCACTCTAGCTCTGGCGTAGGTAGGTAGCACCAGGGTCTAGCCCATGAGCTTGATTGACCTTTGGCTCTGATGATGAAACGGGGCTGAATGTGCGTTGGTCTGCACATAAGGCAAGGCACATGCATCTTTAAATCCTGCATCTGCCTCTTCGAAGCTTCACTCATCGGATTATCAGTGCCACTCGTCGACAACACTGGACACACGCGAAGTAGCTTTTGCTCAACTGTGTTTGCCCCTCTCGTGCCACTTAGTTTGCGCTCGTGCATTGCAACGGCGCTCCCTTGGCAGTATCCAGCGCAAAGCTCCGTCGACCATCTTTCTTCGATCACTCGAGCTGTTTTGCACCGTCTTCGCAACTTATCGACATCCTACCGTGATGATCTAACGTTCGAATCACTGCCGTCAAACATCTCCATCGTCTCTGGTCGCTATCACCGTACCAGCCGGCGAGCCGCAACCGCAACCCCGCACCATGACGGCTATCAAAGGCCAAAAGGGCGAGAGCTCGAGCTCTGCCCCTCCCCCGCGCCGACCCAGCGACTTCGACCTCGACAGAACCGACAGCGCAGAGGTGCCCGACGCCCTGGTCTCCGATGGCTTCAGTCTGCCGTCTTTGGGAGCCGACGATGAGCCTCTGCCCACGTACGGCGACCTCCCCGACCAGCTTCACTTCTCCCAGTCGGGCGTAGAGGCAGGCGCCAATGTCACCAGTGCGTCTCCTCCATGGACTTTCTCCGGCGGCCTCCCAAATCAATAGCTAACTTTCAAACCCAGTCGACGGCCGAGTCAACATCAACATCAACCAGAGCGGCAACCGCCTCGCCGAAATCCTCGCACCGACCATCGCGCGAAGCCAGCTCCTCGCCGACAAGCAGCCCCAAGGGCCCCTCCCGCCCGCTTATATTCCACCGTCCCTCGGCGGTCAACCAGGCCAGGTCCCTCCCCCGCAGCTCAACGTCGTCGTCCAGATTGTCGGCTCGCGCGGTGACGTGCAGCCTTTTGTCGCGCTGGGCAAGATCCTGAAGGAGACGTACGGCCACCGGGTGCGCATCGCCACGCACAAGACGTTCCAAAAGTTCGTCGAGGAGAATGGACTCGAGTTCTTCAACATCGGCGGCGACCCCGCCGAGCTCATGGCCTTCATGGTCAAGAACCCCGGCCTGATGCCCGGCTTCGACACCCTCAAGAGCGGCGAGGTGAGCAAGCGCAGACGGGGCATCGAGGAAATTCTGCTCGGTTGTTGGCGCTCGTGCATCGAGGCCGGGGACGGACTGGGCCCGCCGCCGAAACCACATGGCCGGGACGCGCCGATGGACGATCCAATGGGCCTGCTGCCAGGCGACGAGTCGCAAAAGCCGTTTGTGGCGGATGCCATCATTGCCAACCCTCCCAGCTTTGCGCACATTCATATTGCCGAGAAGATGGGGATTCCGCTGCATCTCATGTTCACCATGCCGTGGACGCCCACACGCGCGTTTCCCCACCCGCTGGCCAATATCCAGTCCACCAACACGGACCCGGTCATGACCAACTACGTCTCGTACGCGCTGGTCGAGATGATGACCTGGCAGGGCTTGGGAGACGTCATCAACCGCTTCCGAGAGAAGGCGCTGGATCTGGACCCCATGTCGCTCATCTGGGCACCGGGCGTATTGAACAGACTGAGAATCCCGTACACGTACTGCTGGTCGCCGGCTCTCATTCCGAAGCCGAACGACTGGGGCCACGAGATTGACATTTCTGGATTTTACTTCTTGAACCTAGCGTCGGCATTTACCCCGGACCCTGATCTGGCTGCGTTCTTGGCAGCCGGTCCGCCTCCGGTTTACATCGGGTTTGGGTCTATTGTCGTGGACGACCCGAATGCGCTGACGAGAATGATTTTCGACGCTGTCCATCTCACGGGGGTGCGGGCGCTTGTCTCAAAGGGCTGGGGCGGTCTCGGAGCTGAGGACGTTGGGCTGCCCGAGGGCGTCTTCATGTTGGGCAACGTCCCGCATGATTGGCTGTTCCAGCATGTTTCTGCGGTTTGTCACCACGGTGGCGCGGGCACCACTGCAGCAGGAATCCAGGCCGGGAAACCAACGATCGTGGTGCCGTTCTTCGGAGACCAGCCCTTCTGGGGTGCCATGATTTCCAGGGCTGGGGCCGGTCCAGACCCCATCCCGTTTAAGCAGCTCAGTGGAGAGAAGCTTGCGGAGGCAATCCGGCATTGTCTAAAACCCGAGACCCAGGCTAGAGCGCAGGACCTGGGTAACAAGATTCGCGAGGAAAAGGGAACTGACGTTGGCGGTAAGAGTTTCCACGATCACCTAGACACCGATGCACTCCGGTGCTCGATCGAGCCCAGCAGGGCAGCGGCCTGGCGTGTAAGACGCACCAAAGTTCGCTTGAGCCCTATGGTTGCAGCGGTTCTAGTTGACAGGGGTTTGATCAAGTACTCAGACCTCAAGCTGTAAGTTGCTCACCGCCCAACCCGCCCCTGCGTCTAAGTGGAACCACACCACCCTTGCTCACACACACACGCACACAACTTACAGATACCGACCAAAAGAATACATCACTGACGGCCAGCCATGGGATCCCGTTTCGGCGGTGGCCTCGTCCCTGGCTACCGATCTTGGG